AAGCGGTGAGTATGGAGCACTCAGCTGAAAATCAAAATTGATGTCACCAGACAACTGTAGTATGCTTTCAAACCGGCACTAAAAGCACCGGTGAATAGTCTTTGAATGAAGAAAATGTTAGCACTTTATAACTTGAGATTCTCAGGAATATGTTAACTAGAATACCATACTTGGGAAATTTTTCCCCCTCCTTTTAAGGCACCTCTGCCACACAATTCCCCATCTGTGATACAACAAATATTTCGATCAGGATTTATCTTTATTTTATTTTATTTTTTACATTAGCCAATTTTTAATCTTCTTTTCATGTTATATGCTTGTGTTGTGTATATTATTAAATCCCACCTTTCTAGGGTTTCCCTGTGCCACTTAATTCTCCTGTAATCGAATGCTTATGCTAGTTCCCTGGCCAGTGTGGCTCAGTTGGTCATCCTCACCAAAGGGTTGCCAGTTCAATTCCAGGGTGAGGGCACATGCCTGGGTTGTGGCTCCAGCCCACGTAGTGGGTGTGCAGGAGGCAGCTGAAGGATGTGTCACTCTTGAATTGACATTTCTCTTTCTCTCCCTCTCCCTTCTTCTCTCTAAAAATCAAAGGGGGGGGGTAATGATAAATAAATAAAATAAAAATCAATATAAATATATTTTTAAGTACTTGTGCTAATTTAAGCAAAAGGAACGTTGCTCCAAGATGGGTATCCTGAGTTGCTTTTTTGAAAACTTGATGAGCATTCTTTACTCTTTAGAATGATGAGTGCCTGGTTGCTGGTTAGATTAAGAGAACAAGGCAGTCTGAGGCAGTGTCTTTTATCTAAGCAAAGACTTAGGCAGGAAACTCTGAACCAACTTGCACCCGTTTAGAAGGGACCGCCAGAACTGAAATTGACTGTAGAACAAATAATATGCAGAATTTAGAACCAGCCAATGTCACAGATATTTTCAGTCATACCTTGATATGGGTCATGATGGATGACAGGACCAATACCTATAAAAATTAATGTCAGCAGGAGAGAGCAAAGAGGACCAGCCATGCCCAATGATCTGTTAAGTAAACCATTGGATTTTATTTTATAGATACTTTATTGCACGTCATAGATACAGGCCTTTCAGGACATTGGCAGTTTAAACAATCCTTGCACTTGTGCATATCAAGATGATTCTGAAGCTTTTATCTATTAGTTCAACAAGTTTGTATCACCGGACACTTATTTGACATGCAGTGTTCTAGAGCTAGGTATATCACTCTAAAAACTACAACTCAAAGGCAAAAATCCCTGCCTTGTGGGATGATAAATTCTAAAGGGGGAAGACAGATAATAAATAAGAAAACCCTCTAGTATGTAAAAAAATGGGAAGGTGTATGAATTATGAAATGGTAAAGAAGAGAGATAAGGGGTGTGGGAAGCAGGAGGTTGCAATGTTAAATGGGTGGCCAGGGAGGCCTTACCAAGGATGAGATATTTGAACAAGGACTTGAATGTGAAGAAGAATGGAACCATGGCATTATTTGGAAGAATAACATTTCAAAGAGGAGGTTCAGAAATTCTTAAAGCTGAATTGAAATAGGAATCTATAGAGAGATTATTAATATGTGAGTGATAATTTGACTTTTGTTTAATAAGGCCTGGTTGGTTTTGTCTGGGATTGCAGACCTGGAGTAGAAGGAGGATGAGGGGAGAGGAGAGAGAAGCTGCAAAAAGGCTACTCTAATGATCCAGGTGAAATATAATGGTGACTTGCACAGGGATGATAGAGGTGGAGGTGGCAAAAGAGGTTTGATTCTGGACAGAGCTCATAGAATCTGCTAATGTAGTACATGTGGGTGTTAAAGAAATAGAGGCCTCAAAGATGAACCAAGTTCTCAGAACTGAGCATTGGAAATATGTAGATGGAATTTAGTGAGAAAGGGCAGACTGTCGAAGGAGTAAGTTTTTAGGGAGAAACTTGATAAGTGAATGGTGCCTATAAGATATTCAAGTAGAGATGTTGAGTAGGAAGTTAGAAATATGAATCTGGAGTAGAGAGGGGTGGCCTGGGCTAGATAATTTGGAAGTCTTTTGTATTTAAATTCACGAGCTATAGAAAGAACTCCCATTCTTTAAACCAGGACTTTCAGTATCTGTGTTCCAAAACCTATGTGGCTCCATGTCATTTTAAGATGTAATCAGGAGCTCTAGGGCTTCCTTAGATTTCTACACAGAATTTATGGACTCATTACGCTGAGATCTTCCCTCTGCACGGGGCTGCAGGTCTGAATCTGGGCAAAAGTATTGAGCAAGCAAATTCCAAATGAAATCTCAAATTAAAAGTGATTTTTGTGGACACTCTTTGTATTTACAACCATATCTGTTCTTGACTCCTAATTATGGAAGCAGTGACGTTTCAAAATTATTTCCATAACTGTTTGTAAGGCCATTTTTTCCCCCGTAGTAAATCATTCCAAAGGTTGGCATCTGTAAAACCTGGAACACAATCTTCAGTCTATTAAACAGACTTGGTGCTGAAGGAAACTGAAGCCCTTACTTTCTAAGGAAGACAGTGATGTGGGGACCACAAAGGGCATCTTACAGCCATAGAAGCTTAGCAGCCTCTTCTATGACATGAAAGAATTCGGAATTAGCTCCCTCCCTGTAAAGCTCTCAGACGTTGGCTTTGACCAACAAGCTTACTTATTTAACAAACAAGAAATAGTTCCCAAGTAAAATCCTAGACTACGTGTGGACTGCCGTTGCCTATTTGAGGTATCTCATTCAGGTTTGTGCTGAAATATGAGTTGGCTCATTTGTTCTCACACTCTCCCACTTATTATAACCCCAGTTACTCTTTCTAAGATGTATATGGAAACATAGATTCCACATCATCGTCCTAATGTCACAGATCATGGCCTGAATCATGTTCTTGCAATAAACAAAGAACTGAAACAAGCTTACAGTTCTTTAAAGTTCATATGGTGCCTGGTATTAAACCATGTATCACAGGTCTGCTGTCAGAGCTAATACATGCATTTAGTGAAGTGACAATACATGAAATCAATATGCAGAAATCTGTTGCATTCCCATACACTAATAACAAACTATCAGAAAGAGAAATTAAGAAAGCAATTCCTTATGATTGCATCAAAGGACTAAAATACTGAATTTCACATTTGAAAGTTGCTAAGAGAGTGTATCTTAAAGCTGTCATCACAAGAAAAAAAACACTTTTGTAACTATGGTGACACATGTTAACTAGCCTCATCCTGGCAACCATTTTGTAATATATACACATATCAAAAAGTATGTTATGTATACCTGAAACTTATATGTCAATTATGCCTCAATAAAACAATACAAACAGGAAAAATGTATCATGGTTTAAAATTAGTAGCCATTTAAAGAATATCTTGGTCATCTCTAGCAATGTCCTAATTCTCTCACAAAAAGCCAAAAATGCAATATATATGGTATTTCTTGGCCTACTTATACTCATCTTTGGCTCACATACTGGAAATTTCATTAAAAATATCTTTACTATTTAAATTATCCAAAGTATTTCCAAACTTCATGAAAGCAAAGCATGTTTGCTGAATAGATTAACTATTTCCTAAATTCCCATAGGTAGTATTTTATTCTTTAGAGATTAAATAGTAATGACAAAGATGCTCATTTGGAGAATTTTCCACATTCATTGTATTTCTTTTTTTTTTTATCCTTACCCAAGGATGTGATTTTTATTGATTTTGAGAGAAAGGAAGGGACAGAGAAAACAACATCTATGTGAGAGAGAAACATGGGAATGAAATAAAAACATGTCCTTTGTATAGAAAAGAGAAATAGAGTTTATATTTGGAAATCAGTGAAGTCTGTACTTTGACAAAAAGCTGTTATATATCATTGGTTAAATAGTTTCTCTTTCTTAAAGAAGTTAGCAAATAGTAAACAATGTAAGCATTTTTTTCTCTTCACCCACAAGTATCTTAAATATTTGGGCATTAGTATCAAATATTGCAATTTAGACTCAAATGGTATTTGTTTTGGATTCAGATATGTAGTTGGAAATTTTATTTTAAGACAGGATAATCAGTTCACTCTTCAAGTAAATATCTGTTTTCTATACAAGAAGAAAATGATTTCATTGTTTAGCCAAAGAAATAGACTATAATGGAGAAAACATTAGCAACTTGAGACAAATCCCAAATCCTACATGCAATATAATATCATTCTGCCTATCAACATTATGAATGCCTTACAGGAAATCTACACATACAAAAGGCTCAAATGACATCCTTGCTGATATCATCATTTAAACCAAGCCATAATAATGGTTTTTTTGTAATTTAATGTCTGAAAGCGATGTGTTACTGTAAATTTAGATTGTCCAGCTTGAGGGCTCATGTACATGAGTAAACCATAACATGGTGCTGATCACAGAAAAATAAATTTAACCGTTGTGAGTGATACTGCTTTGTCTTCATGGCTAAAAATGACCAGTTCAGCCATAAGAGCTCTCATGTGGTGCTCATATAATTATACACCCATAAGCTGGCTGATAGTAAATAATACTGTGACTTAAATATATAGCTAATGTAATGCAGTCAAAACCTGATAGAGGAACTATTCTAGAGAACAGCAATAACTATATTTTCTGAGACAAGAGTGACTTCCACTAGTTTGTGTTTGTACAGAAATATATAACTGAATAAAGATCATGTGACATTTTTGGAAAAAGCATACTTAAATAACACAAAATTTTGTACCTATATTTCTATATATAGATGTGTATAACCCATTGAGTACATCAACTATTAACAATTTGCTATACCCTTAAAATGGCATTTTTCATTATCATTAACTTTGAGATTGGTTTGCTTTGTAAATGTGATCATCCCTGTGTGATTTTTAATATTTCTGTTCTTACTAAATATTTTATCTTTAAGGATAAAAATATTAAGATAGATTTAATAATTAACCCACTTAGGTGATATGCTCATTCATATTTACTTCTCAGCATTGGTAGTAAGTAGCCATTTTATACCTGTGCTCCCAATATTTAAAGAGAATTTCCTTCCCTGTCTCTTATAGCAATGTACAGATCCATGAATCATTTAAAGCTAGAGGCCTGGTGCACAAAATTCATGAAAAAAAGCCTGCCTGGTCACACATCACTGCCTCTGTGTGCCAGCCTGATCGCCCCCAGCTGCCCCCTGCTGCTGGCCAGGTGTCATCCCTCACTAACCCCCCTGCCGGCCTGGTCACCCCTGACTGCCCTCCATGCTGGCCTGGTCGCCCCATGCAGCCTGCTGCTCGGTCATTTGGTCATCCCTCACTATCCCCCCTGCCGGCCTGGACGCCCACAGCCTGTTTGGTCATCCGTTCGGTTGTTTCCGATATGACAGTCCGTGGCTCTTTATATATATAGATGTCAGTTACTCTGTTTTGATTTGTTGTACTATGTAATAAAATCAAAACTAATATATGCAGCTGATACTAAGACTCAGAAAATTAAATAATTAGCTTGCAAGTAATTTAAAACTTTTATTTAAATAATGACCAATTTACAAGGGATGTAACGACATTGTTGAAATACTTAAGCTGGTGATACATAACAACTGAATGTAATGAGTGAACCTGAAGTAGATCCTGAATAAACTTAAAACACTCCTGGCTGTTTAACCTCAAAGCAGTCAATAAGATAAAGGAAATTATATCAAGTTAGGTAACTATCTCAACTTGCGTTTGTTCTTCTCTTGTTGACTCTGAGTCTGAATTTCCCAAAGGACAAATTTCTAAGGAGGACTGGATTGCAGAAGAGTGGGGACAACATTCGCTCAAAGACCTTACATATTTGATTGATTCCATACTCAGTAGTGAGGCATTATATCCATTTTGGGAAATCTCTATACTTTTCAACTTGGAAACTTTTTAAGAACTATCTGCATTTTATATGTGTGTGATTTGAGTGGTGTTATTAATGTTTTTCTGAATATTTACTATGTTTTTCAATTTAGTTAAATTCCAACAACTTTGTACTTTAATAAAACATTCTAAACATTGCAGAAAATCTATAAAATATATTTTGGGGACAGCTAGAGAAATTTTGATATAAAATGTGTAGTATATGATATTATTGGATAAGTATTAATATCTTTACTGTGATAATATATTTAAGAAAATTACCTGTTCTTAGAAGATATATGCTAAATAGAGCTTTTAAGTGTGAAACCACATCTGCAACTTATTTTCTAAAGATTTTCATATATGTACATTCACAGTACATACATGACATATACTTTCATATGAGAGAAAAATAAATAAATATGACAAAATACAATTCATGAATCTAGGTATACCACTATTCATTGTACTCATATACCAAATTTTCTGTAGACTTGAAATTTTCAAAATAAGGAATTAAAGGGAAACACTTATTCTAGTAAATGAACAAGTTGCTTAACTTTATATTAAATATCCATATTCTATCTCTGTATTATTTATTTTGGAAAAGTTTTAATATATCCAAAAACTGTTAGAAAGTATTGATTTTTTTAAAGAAAATTATGCTTAATTTTAAAAAATTATAAGAAAGAAGATGATAGTGACTGTATATTTTGGGAGTGATCATTTTAGGAAACTTTGGATGAATGTGTCTCTCTGCTAAAAATTTCTACTATTAATTTGGAATCTAACATTTACTGAGGAAATGTACCTAAGAGGAAGTTCACAGCCATTATATCACAAGTGGTAGATGGGGAGAGACTGAATTAATTTTGATTAAAAGCAAGGTCAAGTACCCACCTTATAATTGAAGCAGCGAACAAGAAATATCGGATAATCAGACCTCTTTATGAAAACTTAGGCAATCACAATATTTTGAAATTAAAAATGCTGTCTTTTAATTCTGAGTCCTGTATATATTTCTGCACTTACAGGAGGAGCCGAAGACAAGATGTGAGGCATGGCAACCCACTGACCCAATGCAGAGGATTCAATCTCAAAGGTAGTAACAGTGAGCAATGATCAAACTTAGAGTAGCAAGGCTCCATACCACATTTCACTTAGGGAAACCTAAAATTCTTGGTATTTAGATATGGTAATTAAAAATTAAATGCTATTTGTATGTATAACAAGAATTGTGAAAAACAAAAGTCTGGGAATTTTCAATATTTGTCATTCTGTAATTGGCTTATTTCACTTAGCATAATGTCTTCCTCAGGGTTCATTCAGGGTTCTACCACGTGTCAGAAGTTCTTTACTGTTTAAGGCGGGAAAATATTCCATTGTGTGTATATATCAACCTTTTTACCCATTCATTCATCGCTGGACACTTGGTTTCTTCCACACGTTGGTTCCTGTGAATAATCCTGCTCTGAATATTGGTGTACTGCAGTGGCTTGATTTTACAATTCATAACCATTCCTTATACTTTTGACAATCCTGTCTTGTCCTTACAGTTAATCTACCCCCTTTCCTCCCATTCTGACATGAAGCGATCATGTTATTGCACTTTTCCCACTAATCCCCTCTCCCCTCATCAACTCAACCAACAGAAGTATCTCCAGGCAGAACTCGCCCTGGCTCACCAAGGAGCTGCAAATGTGCCTCAGTTAACATTTAACACTGAGACTCCCTTTGTAATCTTTTTGAATCCGGAGTTACCTTTTCGCTATTTACTGAGTGTTTCATAAACTTTGTGTCCATTCTACTTAATGGTCGTCGTAGTCATAATGGTGGGAGTATTGGAATAGAGGTAACGAACAAACATCGATGTTGATTTTGTGTCAGAAACTGAGCTAAATGTTTGGGGGTTTTTTTATGGATTATCTCACTTAATGCTCAAGAAACTCTGCTCAAGTAGGGTCTGTTTCTTTGACCGTACCATAAATGAGTGTTCTGTCTGTCTAAGCCACCCCATGATTATCCTAAAAGCTTCTCCTAATTTGAGAATGTCAGTGAAGAACCTCCATGAAATTATTATACTCTGTGTTTTAGCGCCAAGTAAACTGGGACACAGAGATCAAGTAATCTGTCTAAGGTTATAGAGCCGGTAGCAGTGGAGTCAGGATTTTCTCTCAGGTCCCTCTGATTCAAAACCTGTGTTCTCAACCACTCCAGCCCACTGTGGCCTCACCTTGCTCTCTACCTTTCCTGCTCTTTCTGAATTTTATTGATGCTACATTGAATGTGGGATGGATCTGGCTTTAATACTGCCTAGCATTTACTAACTCCTGAGCTAGGATACATTTCCTCATAACTTCCAGGCTCAGTTTGCTCAGCTGTGGAAAGCTGAGAGGACCTAAATCACAAGGATGCTGTCATAATTAAATGCTCGAGGTGGTATTAAGTGCATTCCTGTTGTTGCTACGCCTCTACTATTTGGTGGAAAGTGATTCTTGAATAAATATTGATTTCCTTATGTCTTCCCTTCCCTTTGGACTAAATAAAACAGGTGAACCATGTACAGTATAATAGTCTGCTTGTTAAGTGATTAAGACTGATTCTGGGGGCTGCCATAATTGATCTAAATTTTATAAAAAACTAGACATTCAAATAGGAGAATATACTCTAAATTCCATTGTTTCTCTCTCTCTCTCTCTCTCTCTCCATTTATTTTTGCTTCCCAGCATATAGAAATGCAGCTGAAATTGTTCAGTATGGAGTCAAAAACAACACCACTTTCCTCGAGTGTGCCCCCAAGTCTCCGCAGGCATCTATCAAGTGGTTGTTACAGAAAGACAAAGACAGGAGGAAAGAGGTGAGTGAGAGCACAGCAGCCATCAATCAGGGCTTTGCAAAGAGCATTAAATCACCATCCCTCACTGAGGTGCAGATCAAAGGAAAAGCATCTGAACATCCTTTTATGTCTGTGGGATGACAGGTGCCACCTTCTGTAACCTCCTTTGTCCATGGGGTTGATGGATTCATTAGAAATCCTCTCTGCCTGCTCACCTCAACAACATGGTGACGGAAACAAGAGCTCGGGCACTCAGGCAGGGGTAGTGATGTGAGGAAGCATTTGTAAAAGAAACAAGACGTGGCAAATCCAGAAGCCAGGCTCTCACACAACAGCACCTTTGTGCGAGTCACATGATAAAAGGGGCTTTAAAAAAAGTTCAGTTCTCCTCAGCAAAAATCACCCTGAAGTATAACCCTTTCCGGTAAAGAACATTTTTCTGCTGTGTGGTCATCTGTTTCCACTGCTTTATTATTCATAACTCTCGGGGTTTGGTTAGGTAATATATGGAATCATTGTTTAAGGGCTGCTGCCTTTATTTAGTGATTTTGGGAGAAAACTAGATGTTCAAATAAAAGATCACTTACATTAACTTTTTGCTGATTGGAAAGAGCTGTTTAAAAGGAAAACATAAAATGGCATAGGGTGAAATATTATAAATAATGAATTTCATAATGTTGATGTCATGTTGTCCTGACAAATGACAGAAAAAAAGAGGAAAAACATATATGTATACCTAAAGCCTCAGAGTAGTCTAAAATGTAATGCTGTTTTCAGTACATCATAAAATCTGATAGAGAGAAGGGGGGAAGGGAGCTTACTACATTTATGTGATTTCTATGTGGGCAGTTTTAGTCCTACATGTAAGTTAATTAGGGCTGAGTAAAATGGATACGTCCCAAGCTATAGAATCTAGATACTGCATCAGAGTTACTAAAATAGATGTTGGCTCCATTTGAGAAAATGCTTTCCAACTCTCAGACCTGCCTATCCAGAAATGCTATGAGCTGTTTAGGAAACTGTGTGTACTGTGCCACTGGAATATTAAAACACGGGATGATGACCACTTGCGTGAGAAGGGACTTCTCTCTCTGGAGAATGATGTACTAGGTGGACTTCAGGGCCCCTTCTTGCCCCAGAATTCAAGGATATTAAAAATATTTAAAGATATTTTATTAATTTTAAAAAATGTTTATTGGATATCTGTTTTCTTAGCTACAAAATCTATCCTCAAAGAAGTCTTGGATTTCTACAGTCTAATTGACTTGAAGTTCTTTGGAATGGATATCCTATCTTATAATAGACAAACATGGTAATTGACCGTACCTTCACTATGCCTCCCATTGGCTAATCAGCAAGATATGCAAATTAACCGCCAACAAAGATAGCCGTTAATTTGCATATGTAGGCGCGAAGCAGCAGAGCGAAGACTGAAGGTGGCTCCAGCCAGAGCAGCAAAGGCTTGAATGCGGCTCCGGCCGGAGTGAAGGCCTGGGTGCTGGAGGAAAACCGGTGCTGGCAGCCAGGGGAAGGGAAGGCTTATTGCACGAATCTTTTCGTGCACCAGGCCTCTAGTAAATTATAATAATAACTGCCTTGCAAAGTAACCTGGGCTAGAAGTCATAATGTGTGATGATGAACATCAGACAAAGCAGCAAAGGCTTGAATGCGGCTCCGGCCGGAGTGAAGGCCTGGGTGCTGGAGGAAAACCGGTGCTGGCAGCCAGGGGAAGGGAAGGCTTATTGCACGAATCTTTTCGTGCACCAGGCCTCTAGTAAATTATAATAATAACTGCCTTGCAAAGTAACCTGGGCTAGAAGTCATAATGTGTGATGATGAACATCAGATAGGAATGATGTTCTTGGGCTAGAATATGACACAAAGTCTGTCTGTATGTTAATAGGAAATCTAAAATTCAAACAGGGATTATCTAATAAGAATAAAATGTTTTCCTCTTACTCAGTAAAAAGTTCCACAAGATAATATACAGTATAAGTAAATATAATTTTTATTTAAAATCAAAGTAAATGAACATACACAGCATTGAATACATTTATTAATACAGAAATTAATAAATGAATTTTAAAATGGAATATGTTATTAATTAAAGCTCTTGTGATAATTCTGTTGTTCTATTTCAAAATGTTCAAGAATGTGGAGACTCAAAATGTTAATTAATGTCTTAATTTTTTAATAAAAAACATAAGAATGCTATAATTTAAGATTATAGGAGTATTAACTCTAATATAATTATACAAATCTATTCTGTGCTGAATTTAATCAGAGCTCAAGTCCACTGACTCTTAATTTAGTTGAATGTACTATTAATATTTTATTAAATTTATCCTAATTCTTCCTTACTAGTTTAGGCAAATATACACTATTTCTCATATCAATAATATATAAATATTGAACTTTTTAAAAAAGTAAGCTAAATGGTAAAAACTAGTGGCGAAAAATATAGTTTTAGAGAATAGTATGAAGTGAAAAATACAAGCCTTCCTCCCTTTCACTTTAATACTTATTCCCATTTTCCAGAGCATAAGGCTACCAAACTGATATATTTAATCATTATATTTCCTCCAAATATTATCTATAATTTTTCTAAACCCCCACTATTTAATATCTCTCTATATATAAAAGCCAGCGACTGGAACGCCATAACGACAAGAATGACCAGTTGCTATGAGGCCCACTGCAGCCAGCAAACTGGCCCAATCAGGGGGTGGGGCCAGCTGGCCAACCTCTTGCAGCCCCTTCCCCCAGCTGGCCCCATCCTCCTATAGGCCCCCACCACCCCGATTGGCCCATGGCTCCACCCCCCAGCTAGCTCCGCCCCCAATCGACCACCCCACTTCGATCAGGGGCAGGGCTGGCTGGCCAACCACCCTCATGGGCCCCCCACCCCTTTGAGGGTGGGGCCAGCCGGCCCACCACCCACAGCCCCTCCTGATGGCCAACCCTGCCAGTCAATCACCTGTGGTTCCTCCCCGCTGCTGACCCGTCCCTGACTGGGACCCAATCAGGTCAGCCAGCCAACCTCCTGCTGTCTCCTCCTCCCAACAGGCCCTACCCCAGTCCACCCCAATTGGGGTTGGGCTGGCTGGACCCCACCATGCATGAATTCATGCACTGGGCCTCTGGTCAGTATATATGAAGTAACTTCATTTTTCTTGGTTGCATATTTTTCCATTGTATAAACGTACCTTAAGTATTTTAAAGCTATCATTTGGTTAGGTTTTTTTCTTGTGTTTCCTCTTAACAGAAACATTATGCAAATAAAAATATGCATACTTGTAAGAGTATATCTCCTAACAAATCCTTGGAAATGAAATTTCTGCACCAAGTATGCATGTTATATAGGTACATGTTATATAGATATTATCAAATTGACCTCCAAAAATTTCCCCAATTTTGCACAAAAAGGAAAGGCTTTCTTTTCTTTCGTTTCTGAATGTATTTACGCATTATCTAAACTATTTCTGATGCACATTTAAACTTCAAAATTGAACATCAAATTTTTGCTTTTATACATTCTAGTCTTCCTCCTACTCTCTCTTATCTAGTTCTGTTCCATTTGTCTATGTTTCAATACTATACTATTTTGTGTGGGCAAGTTCTTATCTAAAAGAGCCTTTCTTTGATTTGGATTCTGTTAAAAATATGTATTTATATAGAAATGTACCATTTAGAAAAACATTTCACATGCATTCCTTTATGTTATTTTGTGTCAAATTTCTTTTTGCCTCAGTGAGAGGATATTCCAGAGTATATAGGGCAAGGAAATTCTTAGCACTTAGGTTTAATCTGCTCATTGGGAATACCATAGCTGGAACTGTAGGCAAGGTGGGCTTCCAGCACTTAGCTGATGTCTAGCAAATGACAGTCTGTTTTTTGTGTTGTTGCTTTTTCAGTATAAGCCTATAAAATAATTATATATTATTAACCTCATAGCTTTTTATTTCTTTTCTTTGGAAAGTAAAATCACTTACAAATCTTACGATTTGTATGGCATTACAGCTTATTTTTAGTGATTCTTCAGTGTGAGATAATTGGCAAAAGCCTTTGATAATGTTCAAAACTGCCACTGCTTATATAATTTTTAGTTAGGAGAATATTTATTCACTTATTCAAAAGGGTACAATTCATCCCTTTAATTGTTGCTTCATGTTTTTACTAAGTTTTTTTTTTCTATAATAAAAGGTGAGAACTCCAGGATGAAAGAGATATTTTAAATTATGTGTGAATTTCATTTGCTGTATATGTTGACTGTGAGTCATATTCCAAAAGCAACCAAAATTCTGGGCTTATCTGTGGAGAAACTACTATCCAAAAGGAATTTACTTTAAGCTGTTTTTGGCAATATGAGTGATAACTTCACTCTCTCTTTTAAAATCTGTGTCCACTAAGAAGGAAATTAGTATTCCATACTTTTTTTTTAATATATTTTATTGATTTTTTACAGAGAGGAAGGGAGAGAGATAGTTAGAAACATTGATGAGAGAGAAACATCAATCAGCTGCCTCTTGCACACCCCCTACTGGGGATGTGCCCTCAACCAAGGTACATGCCCTTGACCAGAATTGAACCTGGGACCCTTCAGTCCACAGACCGACGCTCTATCCACTGAGCCAGACCGGTTAGGGCAGTATTCCATATTTTTGCCAAATTTGTTAAAATCAACAGTATTCTGTATATGTTGCCCATATATTTTTAGAAGATACAGAGTTGGATTTTTCAGAACTTCGATGTCTCTCTTGTAGGTCAAGCTAAATGAACGCATCATAGCCACTTCCCAAGGACTCCTCATCCGCTCCATTCAGGATTCTGACCAAGGACTGTATCACTGCATTGCCACAGAAAACAGCTTCAAGCAGACCGTCGCCAAGATCAACTTTAAAGTTCTAAATTCTGATATGGTAGCTGTTGTAACAGACAAATGGTCCCCATGGACCTGGGCTAGCTCCGTGAGGGCTCTGTCTTTCCACCCGAAGGACCTCATGGGGGCATTCAGCCACTCAGAAATGCAGATGATTAACCAGTACTGCAAAGACACTCGGCAGCAACATCAACACGCAGAAGAATCCCAAAAGATGAGAGGGGATTATGGCAAGTTAAAGGCGCTCATCAACAGCCGGAAAAGTAGAAACAGGAGGAATCAGTTGCCAGAGTCATAATGTTTTCTTACATGGGGCGTATGCTCCCCATAGTCTTCAATGGTCTGTCTGTCTTCAGTAATCAAATGTCGAACAAAGAATCTTGTTCTTACCCACGGGAAATTCCTGAGAAAGATGATTACACACTCCTAAAGTGAATGTTACATGAACTGAAACACGCATGCATTTTCTTGTATGATAGTGACTAGTGCTAGACATGTCATGATCCTCATGGTGCATATAAATATTTAAATTAACCTAGATTTTATTTATATCTTTATTTACCTTTTCTTCAAATTAAGATGGTGGTGATGAAACTAGAATTCTTACATCCCTGCATTGAACGAGGGCCATAACCCTGTGGTCTTCCTTCCTTGTTTTAAGGATCTCTAAGGTCACTGATTTTGTGTATGAAAACAAATACCAAAGTCACAACTTTTATATGGTCAGAGTCATATAAATGCATAGAGTAGTTGTCAAAGACTAGAAAAAAGACAAGGAAGAGGGCATCTGAAAGTTATATAAAATCAAAGTACTTCATGAAGAGATAATGAGTTTATATGCTCCCAGTGAACTATGTTGCTGGGTACTTTTAGCTTTGTAAAAATTGTCGGTTGCTAAGATCTGTCACTGACTTGTTGCCTTGTTTCCAGTAGATAAAATGAATGACCCTCATGGCAAACAGCTTTGATTGGAGTTATGTCAGTGAAGCATTTATGTTTATATTCTTATGCTATCATATTCCGAACAAAAGCACTTTTTTTTTTGAAATCCTTTAAGTTATTCAGACTCAGAGACTATAACCTAATGCTGTTTAATAGGTTGAGTTTGTTCTAATTTTTTAGTCTGTGTGAGAAATTAGCCAATATAAGAATAAAACTATTTTGTAATATCAAATTTGTATATGAGGGCTAAAACCATCAAAATGGAATAATGAGAAGAAAACAAAGTAGAAAATCAATTTTATTAGCAAAATTTTATTAAAATATTACTACTTTTTAACTTTAATAATTAATTCCATTATTATCTCATATTTTGTTTGTTTACCAACCTCAGATATAAAATTTATTTTTAAGTCATCAGTTAATTTTTAATGATCTTTTGTGAAGAGGTGTTCATTTGTGGACAAATGAAAAAAAATCTAGTCTGAACAAAAATAGATATAACTTTCTTTTAAAAGAATGTTCATTATGTTCACTGGTACATAAATACAAATGTGAGTTTTGTGATGAATAAAATAATTATCTTCTAGTTGTATGCTTGAATCATTTTATTAGATAATTTAATGTGAATTTTTATTCCAAATAACAATTAGATGAAAATTTCTTCATACTATCATATTTCTTTTAAAGTCACAAATTTGTTCTTTCCATTTTATTTGCCTTTAAAGATAATTTCCAGGTACAAACAGAAATTGCATGATATACCTAATCAAAAAAGTTTTACTTGTAGTTAACCATCTATGAAGAATGAATCACGGTAAATATGTCACCTTTTTAAGCACTACAATATAAAGTTTCAAGAACTGAAAATCATTGTGAAAGTGAATGCAGTCACTGATCTTAATCTAAGAATATGATTAATTATCTAAGTGGTGGTAAATTGTGTTATAAGAAGAGGCCTCAATAGGGCAAAAATAGCTGTTGAACACAACATAACAATGTTTATTTTTTAAATAAAAAGGTATTAATTAAAAACTATTGTTGCAAATATGTATAATTCTAAAGTAGTCCCTAAAGCAAATTATACAGATCATTTGCCTGCTTAAAGGAATAAATAAACCTCTTTATTTCTCCTCAACGTGCACAAACAGAAAAGTGTGTAACACCAAAACCATCTTCTGTGTTCATGGTCAAGCTATTCTATGTACAGAGTTGAAAGTACAATCGTTTCAGAGTCAAAAGACAGGGGAAACCACACAGGACCTCTTGCTTCATATAAATGATAAGGGTGTTTAATTTTGTAATGTTATTTGTGCTATTTAATACATTTTACTTTAACATTATTGAATTGTATATACTTTTATTACTTTTAAAATTATAGAAATCCTTGTTGAACAGAACTGCCAAATGTAAAGAAAATTTTCTTTTTAAAAAATATTGTTAATGTATACTGAATGTTGGTGGTAGATTGGCTTTATTTTGTGTAGATTGACAATTTGAAGACAATATGTTTCCCATTTGTATTATAGATAACATTTCCTAGAAAAGCACTTTTTCAAAGTGTAGGTTTGTGAATAGATTTTAGCATGATGAAACTGTCATTGCAGTGAATGTTCACTCTGTGTAAGAAAATAAGATCAATGTAGTTAGTAAATTAATATTTAATTGGATGTTGAATAAAGCATTTGCCTGGCAAAATTTAGATTTTGGGATTTCTTCTATTTCTGAGCATGCAATCTGTAGAAAGGAAAGTAGAGACAAAGGTTATGACAGAAATTAAAAGTGATCCCAACAGATCTTTCAGTCTGAGGATTCTGTACTACTCCCCAGTTGCCTCTATCTCCCTTGCTTATATTTCAACTTAACCTTAATTTTAAGTAATTTTAATATATCCTGTATAATTATAATGCATTTCTAAAGCTTTATATTTCCTACCTATGTGAAGAACAATTTTGAGAAAAAGATGACAGTTTTCCTATATCTATTCTTCTAGCTGAAGTCGAGAAACTGCGCATCTTTGTTTAAGTCTAGACAAGGAAATAAGCAGACTAAGTAAAACTGTTTTCTTAACAAGAGGCTTTGGGAACTTTATGGAATTTTATACATGATGACAAAGCTGTGGAGGACGGTTGTGGAAAAAAATTTTATTCTTTTTCTTAATTTATAACACCAACCTTTTATTCAATAACCTCATTCCACAAGAATACAATCCCTTCTGCAAAATCAAAACCAATTACAACAAATTCCATATATGTGCTATTTGGTGAACTTAATTGCCAATGAATTGTTTTTCCTAAGGGGCCTCTGGTATAGATTTCAATTTTCATGGTTTCATCACAAGGTTACTTTCTTTATCTTCTTCTTCTTTTTTTTATTGTTTTATTGCTTAAAGTATTACAAAGAGTATTTGAGTCTTGTTTTTTATATATATATTTTTTATTGATTAAATGACAAAGCTGTGGAGGACGGTTGTGGAAAAAAATTTTATTCTTTTTCTTAATTTATAACACCAACCTTTTATTCAATAACCTCATTCCACAAGAATACAATCCCTTCTGCAAAATCAAAACCAATTACAACAAATTCCATATATGTGCTATTTGGTGAACTTAATTGCCAATGAATTGTTTTTCCTAAGGGGCCTCTGGTATAGATTTCAATTTTCATGGTTTCATCACAAGGTTACTTTGATATAGCACAAATATTGAGAATTGGAAGGACTAGCTCCAAGATAAAAAAAAAAATATATGCCATCTTCACTCTACTGACTAATGCATTTGTCTATTCACCTCATAAAACAATGCTTTCCCCTCAGTTTGAATTGTGTATTTCTCAGGGCTATTATGTTGCCATGCTTGAGTGTTACTTACATAAAATGCTATTAAAGAATGACATTATAACAAACACATTAAAATTGTTTATTCTATATTAGGTTACCCCTCAATCCCCAAGAACAAAAGCAGGGTGAATTCTCTTTCCTAAATGTGTTCCTGTCCTCCGAATTATTTATATAAAAAAATGCCATCCAAACATTTTATGAGATCAAACACATCATAATTTCTGCATGACAAAATGGATATATGATGGAATCATCAAAATAAATGTCATTCTATTGTTTCTCTGGCTATTTTTTTGTATACATTTACGGATGATCCTTGGCCCATGAATGGTACAATGAGATGGAAGGAATTTATCTGTTTAGGTCCTTTTAAAATGTTACATATACAATTCTATATAGGAAAAAAAAAGCTATAACTAATTATTTTTTTATTTTACTGATTTGTGTTTGGGGGGGGTGGCGGCGGCGGAGGTTATAATCATCTTCCCTTCTCTGCTCAGGGCAGAGCTACAAACGGAATAGAGCATGGCTCATCAAACAGCGAAGCTGGACCTTCGAAGGGTCTTCTGAGCTGATGTGATTTGGCAGCTGTAAATTGTGAGTTGAAGTTGAGAGTCATGAAGAAGAAAAGCTGCTATGGGAAGCCAAAAACAAGAAGTGCTCCCTGAGCCACATCAGCCTGGGATTGGGAGAGGACCCCACCAGTGCACGGTCGGAGTCGGGGTCGGAGAGGGACATGGGAGGTTGGCAAGCCAGGGAAAGGCCACAGGAGGGCTCTAGGGTGTGTCTGGCCTGTCTCACTCAGCCCTGATCGGCCAGACCCCAGCAGCAAGCTAACCTACCAGTCAGAGCGTTTGCCCCCTGGTGGTCAGTGCACATCATAGGAAGCGGTTGAGCAGCCTTAGCATATCGTTAGCATAATATGCTTCGATTGGTTGAATGGAGGACCGGACACGTAGCATATTATGCTTTTATTATATAGGAGATATATATATATATAAATAAATATAATTTCAGTCCTTACAACAACCCTTCGTATGAGGTGAATAAGATTAGTATCCTCATTTTTTAGATGAGGCACACAATAGGTACAGAGTGGTTAAGTAACTTTCCCAAGGCCAGTCAGTAAGCAGGTAGCTTCTGGGAATTAGTATTACAAAAAATTATCCTGGAAAAACCACGGAGGTGGCTCCATCGAGCCAGAGGACACATCAAAGACATGATTAGAACTATTATTACAAGTATTGAAAAGAATGATGGCTCCCAAATATCTCTTTAAATAAAATTATAAGAGAGCAAAAACAAATGTCAGCTGATGAATTAAAATAAATTTTGACAATAAAGATGTGACATATTCTTCAAAAAGTATTTAAATATTTGAATAGCAGCATTATAATAATATTTTCATTCTCATCTAATTGTGTCAGAACTTTTGCTCATGCTTATTAGAAACAGCATTTTTGTTGAACTCTGTTTCATTCTGTGAACTAAGATTCATCTGCTCAGTGTGGGGGGCGGGGGGGGACATGCAGGAGATGCCAATCAATGATTCTCTCTCATCATTGATGTTTCTATCTCTCTCTCTCTCTCTTCCTCTCCCTCTTTGAAATCAATAACAATATATTTTTAAAAATAAAATATTCAGATATACCAGCTTTTGTAATATGATTTACAGGACACTAGGTAACATCTGGTTCAGGTCATGGAGTCAAAATGCCTAGATTTTACCTTCTTACTTGCTAGTATCTAGCTTATCTGGTCCAAGATAGTTATGAAAATAACCATCTCATGCGACTGTCAAGATTGAGATAATTCATCTAAAGTGCTTAAAACTTACCGGATGTAAAATGAATATCAGATAATATTGGCTATTTTACTACTATGCCTTTGCTGCTGGAAATGCCATTTATTAATTTTGACACCAAATATTTATTGAACCATATTGAGATTATACCAGGGAACAAACGCAATTTCCCTGCTCTTATGAAGCCTACATTATAGAGATGAAGACAAGAAACAAATGAACAAATAATCATATAGTAGGTTAGGTTGAAATACATACTATGAAGAAAATTAAAGAAAGGTAAGGAAATCATTGCAAAGATAGGGGAAAGTGCATTCAGGGAAGAGCCAGAGATCAGTAAAAGGCCCTAGGCTGAAAACAATTCTGGCTGACTTGAGGGGGAAAAAAGAATGAATTCTGTGTGGCTGGCGCTAAGTGAGAGAGGAAAAAGAAGACAAGTATGAGACAGGATCCAAAAGGCAGAGAATCCAAGGCACTTGGGTCCAGTGATGTCATATGAATGAGTTACATTTAATACATAACATTCCTGGCTGTTTTTCAGACAACCCCTGAGAGCAAGAATGCAAACAAAGAAAAACAGATCAACTAGGGGTCCAAAACACTTTTAAAAGTGTGCATAACTCCAGTAGATTTAAGTCTTGACTTCCAGTCACATGGAGGCATAAACAGCTGATAAGAAAGCCCTCCTGGGGTGTACTTTTGAAGTAAGTGAAGGGGTGATATGAGAAAGCCCTTATCCCCCGACATCGGGGAAGAATCATTGGAGCTGTGCGCACCAGAGGGAAAGAAGCCGCTTGAAGAGCGCCCTAGAGGTGGCCGTGGAGCTAGCAAATGCAGAAACCATCAGAACAGGGGTTTATTACCCAGTAATATCCAGAGGAGGAAGTGGCTTCAGTTTCAATACTGAGAACCAAAGCAGTCATGGCTAAAGATCCAAGGGCGTGAAAGACAATGTTGTGTGGATGCTTTAAGATAGGCTGGGTCACGTGGACAGTGGCTGTAAATAATTGAGGATGCAAACAGCCTTCATGGACGAGAGTCCTCAATGAATAACTGAAAATGCAATGCAACATGGTTAAGAGGCCAGCTATTTTCAAAGACCAGCTGCCTTAATGGCCCTGGTAGTTGATCCTGATTTAATTTACTGGGAAAGAGATGCACTTTCATCTTGCACTTAGGAGCAAGCTGTCTAAATGGACAAGGACAGCTTCCAGAATGGAGTGTGTGGTGAAACATCATTTTCAGGAAGATGGAATGACAATGCAGTTTGCACAGGAACTCAAATCTTTAATTCCTAGGGCACTGGGATCAACAGGAAGCAGTGATTCGGGGTGATTATGCTCCTCACAACAGACCGTCCCCCAGATTACTGCTTTTCGCTGCCCTGTGAAAAGAGGAAATTAAGTGCTTCTACAAAGATGGTCACTAGACTGACTCCCTTTAGCAGGCACTGTGGCTTTGAATATGGCGGTAAATCCAGGCTCCATCTCAGAAATTAAATAATTCTGGATAATGTGGATACAAATATTCATGAAAGATGAATTTGAGGACGTAGTAAACAACTGATTCATTTCTTTACCTCTCCTTAAAGAGCATTATCCCGCACCATCCCTCCCACTACCACCACCAAAACCACCAGCCTTCCTACAGTAGCTCCCCACTCCAGAAGGCCAGGCGAGCATTCCAAACCAGTGCTGTCTCCCACGCCATTGACACGGCAGCCAGGGTATTGGTGCTGAGGCTGCCACTGTGGGTGTGGCTGGCTCAGGGGCCAGAAGTGGAACAGTGTCTGGCAGTTTGATCATTGGCTATGCCAGGAGCCCATCTCTAGAGCAGCAGCTCTTCCCCTATGCCACTCTGGGCTTTGCCCTGCCTGAGACCATGGGCTCTTCGTTTGATGGTTGCCTTCCTCATGCTCTTCTTCATGCGAGGCTCCGTGGGGCTCACCTCCCCATCCCTCTGTCCCTGCTGTTGTGACTCCAGGCCATGCCCAGTGCTGGAACGTGCTAAGCTGTATCATTAAGCATAACATTTCTCTTTTTCAAAAAGGAAAAAGAAAGAGAAGAAAAAAGAAAAAGGAAAAGAAAAAAAAGATATTTCCACCAGAGAACAGCAGGGGGAGTGTTCAACATCTTCCTAGATAGAGCTTGTTTTTCTTTTTTTACTTCCTCGGGAGAAATCATGAAAACCTTTTTGCAGGATTTCTTGAAATACTTTCATTTAGACAAGAAAGCACAGCCTTGCTAGGGTTTCTTCTACTTCCCAGGTTGGTTTCTTCCCCCTTGCTCATCCGCACTACATTATAGCATTCACCTCTTTATTGCATTTAACCTGTTGTTTTTGACTACTGCCTGCTATAGTGTGAGCTTCTCATTTCAATCACTTTCTATTCCTAGAATCTAAGATATTACTGATCAGATAATATGTGCCTAATAAACATGTGGGTCCTTCTCTTTTTGATACTAGAGTATATAGCAAATCCTTTTAAACGCTCATATCTAATGACTAAGGGATTATTAATACTATGTAGTATAATACAGATTTCAGAACATAAACAGTTATTGGTTTGATAATTTATAGACTTTTCATTATGGTAAGTAGAACACCCACTAAAACTTAAAACAATTAAAAATTTACCATCTACCTCCATATAAGAAGTGAATAGCGCCATTTCAATTCTCCAAGGGAAAGCCAAGACAAATATAAAGCATTTGTTAATAAAAGATGATACGGAATAGTCAAATAGTTTTCCCTATATTACAAGGGAAACAAGAGGTCATGATTAAAATATCTACTTTGTTCTACTAGTGTTCTGTTAGCTATGTAAGTCCTATTCAGTCACTGGTTCATCTAATCCCCGCAGCAATACTTACTTGGTATGCATTGTTACACACATTTTATTTATGAAAAAACAAGCTTGGAGTTTCCACAGCTAGCAAGCAGTAGGAGTGAAAACCACATTTACTGTTTGTTCTATACCTCCCAACAAGTAAGAGTGGAGAGAATGGAGACCTCCCTGTAGTAATCAGGGAAGGTTTCATGCTGCAGGGGGATCTTGGAATGGCTGTGACTGTGGAATTCACAGAGGTCAATGTGGAGATTTCCATACGCTTAGAGCTGGGAGCATAATGAATACACAAAAAGAATCTACTGGTTGATTCTGACAGTAGAAGTTATGAAAGGGCAAAGATAAAGTTAGATGTATGTCCAAGAGAATGGAGTGAACAATGAAATAAGTGTAGTTTGCTATTTGTTTTTGAG